ATGTGCAAATCAATGGAGAAACTTAGAGTAGCAGAATGTATTTGCAAACTACACATCAGATAAAACTAATAATAATATTTAAATTATAGAAGACATCTCAGATATCAGTAACAAAGTGAAACTAGTTAGGCAATTGATAAAAGACAATGTTTCATTGAAGAGCATGTATAGATTCAGATAAATATAGGAAAAGATATTAAGCATCACTTATGAAATGAAAGTTCAGACCACAATGAAGATATTATTTTATGTACTAAATAACTAAAATAAAAGAAAATCAGCACAAAAACATGGTGACAGTGGAGAAACTGGATTACTCATATGGGCACTGTGGGAATGTGAAATATATAGTTTCTTATAAAATTAAACATGCACTTTTACCCATAAATTCTAGCAATTCCACTTTAGATTGTTTATCCAGAGATACATCAGACTTAGTCACATATAAACTTGTACATGAATGTTTATTTAACCTTTATTTTTAATATCCAAAAGTTGGAATAAACCTAGATGTCCTTAGATAAATGAATGTCTTGATAAACTCTAGAATAAACTATAGAATACTATTAAGCAATAAAAAAAAACCTTTAACACATACAGTCTTACATGAATCTCTAGAGAATTATGCAACCTACAAGAAGTTCATCTCAAAAGATTATTACATATGAAAGAATTCTACTTATATTCCATTTTTACTATAATAAACTTTAGAAATGGGCACAGGTTATTGTGAGAGTGTAGGTTTGATTGGGCAAGAAGGTGGTTAGGCAGGAGACTGACTTTAAAAGGACAATAGGACATACTTGTGTCAGAATTGTGCAGTCTCTTGGCTGTTGTGTAAATGAACCTGTATAGTTGATAGAATTGTATATAAGTTAATGCAATCAGACATAATATAAATTAGTCTACTAAAACTAGGAAAATTTCCGTAAGTGCATGTTTCCCAATTGAAAAAAATTGGACAAAATCTACAAGGGTTCTCTCTATTACCTGTTCTTGTGTATGTGAATCTACAGTTATTCAAAAAGTTGAAATTAATAATACTAATTGCATGCCTTAGGTAAAAGTATGTAGAGTCCTTTTCCTAGTTAAATAAAACAACTTAAAATTAAATAACATGGAAAGATAGTTGAATTTATTTGTAAGAGACCTGTTTCCACATATCAGTAGCAACAATACAGGTAAGGACATCAAAGTCAGGAAATAGTTTTTTTTCTTGTTCAACTTGAAAAATAAAGTATTTTTTAAAATTTATTTGCTATGGGCCCCCCCTGGTGGTGCAGCGGGTTAAAGCACAGAACTGAGAAGCTAAAGCCACTTCCACATGAGTTCCATTCCCGCCAGCCCCGGAGGTGACCACATGGCGTGGCAGACTTCTCCTGCCGCGCCTGCTGCTCCCTTCAGCAGTGTACTTCATCGATCTGCCTGTTCTGCTCCCCGCTCTGTCTCTGGTGAAGCCTCTTGCCGCCCCTGAGCCTCTGGCCTGTACCCCAGCTCTGTATGCACAAATAAATAAATCTTTAAAAAAAAAATTTATTTGCTATGTATTTGTAATGTTTCATTTTTTAAAAAGATTTATTTATTCATACAGAACTGGGGTACAAGCCAGATGTGCAGAGGCAGTGAGAGGCTTCACCAGAAACAGTGGGGAGCAGAACAGGCAAATCAACAAAGTATACTCTTGAGGGGAACAGTGGGCAGGTCAGGGGAGGTCTGCTGCACCATGTGGATCACCTCCAGGGTTGGGGATCAAACTTACACTGAAGTGGTTTTGGCCAGCTTGCAGTGCTGCGTCCTAATCCGTTGCGCCACTACGGAGGACCAGAAAAATTAAAAGTATTTTAACATATCTTCTCCATTCAAAATAAAATGGTCATTGATGGTGAAGAAATAATATTACATACAGATTAAGAGTTTAAAAAGATTTGTAGGCAGTATTAATCCTTGCTCATATCTTTTTTGATCAGAGCCTAGATTTTTCTGCATTAACTGTGATAATCGGTATTTTTATTTGGGGAATTAAGACTGTATTCTGCACTGAAAATTGCAGCCTTGAAAATGTACAAAATTAAATTTTTGTATGTTATTTGAGCAAAGGAGTAATTAAGCTTTAAAAATAAAGCTATTTTCACTCTGGATTGATGAAAAACAGTCAACTCAAAGCTCATTTGAAGCATGCTATATGAATACTTTCATCCACTCAACAGGGCCATTCTTGATAAGCAGTGTGACTTCATGGTGTGGCAGTATATTACTGTGTAATAATAAAATAATGTGCTCCATTTTATGACTTGTAACTTATTTTTTAATTGCTAAACTACAGTTTTGCCTGACTTTTATATTTGTCTGATTTTTATATATTTTATATTTCTTTCAATGAAGATAAATACATACAACCATTTTAACCCGTATTTATATAGTTTGTTGGGTGAAGTGACTTTCTGTAACTGACTAATCTTATTTAGAATTAGTCAAGAACTAAAATTAAGAAGCGGTAGAAAATTATTAATAAAGCTTTTACTGGCTTCTGGGTCTTAAGGATAATGGTGGCTACCTAAATTTTCATGTCTCCAAACATCTTCTCCCAAACCAGAGACTAAAAGGAATACAAATGAAACCCAACTAGCTTCTGCTCAACTAGGAAATAGGAAATCAGTGAAGTTTCAATTATCTGTTAAATAGCAAAATAATAAATTCCAACAGAGCTTCCACTGCATTTGTAAGTCTGCATGTGTGGAGAGTATGGAGTAGGGAGTTTTAGAAACTTTGAAATAGGAGAGATGGTATGTCTTCTAAAAAAACACAGAGGACCCTCCCTGGTGGCACAGCAGGTTAGGGCACAGCACTGCAAGCTAGCCTCAGCCGCTTTAGTACAAGTTGGATCCCCAGCCCCGGAAGTGATCGATCCACATGGCACAGCAGACCTCTCCTGTCTCACCCACTGCTCCCCTCAGCATTGTACTTCATCAGTCTGCCTGTTCTGCTCCCCACTCTGACTATGGTGAATCCTTTCACCACCCCTGCACCTCTGGCTGTACCCCAGTTCTGTATGTATAAATAAATAAATCTTAAAAAAAAAAAAAGCAAAGACAAAATCACCATCAAAAAAAACATTTAAGTACAATAGTATATGTCAAATAGTGAACATAAATGCTGGGTCGTGTTAGTTTATAGCCCTAGCTACAGAGAAGGGATTTTGCAGTAAGCAGTATTGAAAGTGACAGACTTGGAAAAATTTTGCTTTTTGGGAAGAAGGGGTTATGGACATGACAGCAGTGAAAAACAAGAAGAGAAAAATCAATTGTTAATGTAAAATGAACTATCACTGATCATTTAAGAAATTGCACTTCACAAAAAAATGTTAATCTTGATGCTGTCAACAAAATGATTAGAGAAGAAAAAATCAGACTTACCCAGTACCATTGTTAGCAATAAGCAGAGTTTTTTGAAGCTTTTAGCTGATGAAAATCCCATCATGCAGAAACATAGCACAACACAGAGGAAAATAACTACAAAGTAGTAAGAGTATGACACTACTTTAAACTACTTAAACAAAATCTGACCAAATTTTGAGAGAAATGGAGAAACAAGATATATAATGAGTTAGCATCAAGAAAGAAATTGAAGAAAAAGAACTATGTTAGAAATGAAGAGTACGAAATGCTTGTGAAAATAGATTGAAATGAAAATTTAAGGAGGAATATGGAATGAAAATGAGGTAAAAAAGTAGTAAGAATCTCAGAGAAAGTGATTGAAAGGGAAGATTGCAAAGGAGGTCCAAAATGCTAGAATTTGCTATGTGGTTTTGTTGTTTTTTTTTTTTTTTAATTTTTTTCTGTTAATTTTTTGCAGAATTTGATTTTTTCATTCTTGAAATAGGTTTTTGTGGAAAAGGTAATTTTCTAAATATATCATTTCCTGTGACTTCAAGTAAATTGATTATTCATATGGAAAAACATCCAGTTATTTCCCCCATTTCATGTGGTACGTTCTTGTGTTTGGAGAACAAAATAGGAACTGAGTGAGTTTAGAAGCATTTTTAATGTTTTCCATTTTTTCTCATTTTAAAAATTTATATACTAAACTATATGTAGGTATCTATTTTACAATTAAGTCCATCTTGCCAGATAAGAAAGCTCCATTTATCTTTTGGAAGCAACTTGTTCTGTAGGAAAAGAAAAAATATTTGAAGATTGTTTTAATGAGTACATTTTTTTTTTGTATGTAGTAAATTTGGTCAATGCTAAAACCATGTGTGAAGAAAAGATGAAGTTTGAAATTGTACAGTTCAATCTTAATGCATATTAACTAAAAAACATTTAGTTCTGAAAAATTAGTAATTAAAAATTAAAGTAAAATTTTTTGTGTTCACCAGTTCCTCAGCACTATTCATAGTAAGTTTCCTGCTTTTGTCTGAAGGCTCATTAGAGGACAACTAAATACAAAGTTTTCAAATGAAGCAGTTTCTAACATGCAGTGAGAAGATTGTGCAGTGTTTTCTATCTTTATGACTAGTGCTGTGGTGGATTACTGACTCTGAAGTGTTTGTAATTTAAGATAATTATTAGATTTTTTATATGTATGGAAAGTATGAATTCTTCAGAATTCTCTATTATTTGCTAAAGAGTTGGAAAGGTTTCCTTTTACAAAAAGACTGATACATGTAACTGCATTTCTAATAAACATGAAATTACTTTTAATCTAAAGATTAAGGCTTTTTATTAGATTGCTTAGCCAAACACTAATGTAAAGTCAATAAAAAGTAATGACTGTGGTGTGCAACACTAGGAAAGACAGATTTCATACAAAATGAAATAGTTGTACCTTTTTGGGTCACTTTTTATAATGTTGATAATGTTTTCCCTTTTTGCATTTTTAGCTCCTAATTTTCTAACCATTTGACTTACCAGTATTGTGATAATTGCTGTGTTTTTACATTCAGAGCTTTACCATTAACAGATAATATTTTTAAGTAATTATAATTTTCTTTCTGTGACTAGGAAGAAGCATTACATGCATTTATTCAGCCAGAGATTCTGGATGGCCCAAATCAATATTTTTGTGAACGCTGCAAAAAGAAATGTGATGCACGGAAGGTAGATGCCATGTAGAAATTAATAAGTACTTAATTATCTGAGATGATAGTCTTTTATTCAATAACTTTTTTTTTTTTTTTTCAGGGTCTTCGGTTTTTGCATTTCCCTTACCTGCTGACCTTACAATTGAAAAGGTTTGATTTTGATTACACAACCATGCACAGGATTAAATTGAATGATCGGATGACATTTCCTGAGGAGCTAGATATGAGTACATTTATTGATGTTGAAGATGAGGTAAATACTCTACTTTTTTGTTAAAAGATTTTTCATTAGTCCACTTTGGACTAATGTTTAAAAGACTGGTTGGGTTAACAATGATGTTGGTTAGACTGTTTAATGAAAGGTTTTTTTTCCCCCACTGTAGAATTCTGAAGTTGCTTTTACCTTCATTTTTCCTTAATCCAAACTTTTTTGAAGAGAGGAAGACTATATATTAAATACAGTTCCCTACAAGAAAGCTCTTGGCAAACTGTTGGTGCTTATTATATATTGCTTGGTTAGTTCAAAAACTATTGTGCAATCTCTTAAACATACCTAGTATCTACATCTGAGTGAAGAATTCTCACTGTTTGAATAAAAAACATTTGCATTATAAAATGTTAAAGGAAAACTGAGAAAGTTGGGTATTTCTGTGAAGTAGTTTTTCAAATTAAATATGCATAAATGGGATTTAAAAATCATAAATGCATAGAAAGGTATTATTTGCTGCTGTTAAATTTCTGCCTCCTGTCCACGATACTGTAAATTCTTAAGGGTAGGTTACACATCTTGTTTCTCTTTCTAATTGTCTCTAATATCTACCACAGTGATAGACCGAATTGAGCTTTGTGTTCAAGACATGAAATGATATTCTTTTGGGATTCAAGAACAAAAGTAGCTCATTTCAGAACTTACGTTTCTCTGCTTGTATAGGTTTCGCTGAAATAATTGTATTGGTACTTTGCAACTGTAAACATAATGGGGTTTAGTAAAATTCTGAATCACTGTGTTAGAACTTTAAGGTCATTAATAGAACTGTCTTAAATAAGCTTGTTTAATTGTATTAAATGTCTCACTTTTTAAGAGAAAATAAATGTAAAATAGGTATTTTTCTATTATGTCTGAAATTAGGAAAAAATTAGCAGCATATAGATAAAAAGTTTTACTAAGTTTATATTTTCCATTTAGTTAACTTACAAATTATAAAACAATTGTTTTATTAAGAAATCTCCTCAGACTGAAAGTTGCACTGACAGTGGAGCAGAAAATGAAGGCAGTTGTCACAGTGATCAAATGAGCAATGATTTCTCCAATGATGATGGTGTTGATGAAGGGATCTGCCTTGAAAGCAGTAGTGGAACTGAAAAGATCACAAAACCTGGTCTTGAAAAGGTACTTTTTATAACTTTTAATTGAACGAATAAAGTAATCTCTGAGTTTCTGTATAAATCTTTAGCTATTGTGGCTGATCAACTTCTATTTAAAAAGATTAATTTTTGAAAATTGGGTTTTAAAAAATGTGTTCTGTGTGTGTGTGTGTGTATGTGTGATCATAAACTTTAGCAAGAGCTACTTACTAATTTCTGGGAGACTGAGTTGTGTTTATGGGAACAAACTGGGAATTTGTGGGGAAAGTGTAATTTATAGTCAGGAAATCATTTTTGCCTTTTAAGTTGCAATAACCCTCTAAGTCTTATTTCATATCAGTTTTTTTTTTAAAAGACTTATTTATGCATACAGAACTGGGGTACAGGCCAGAGGTGTGGGGGGTGAGAGTATGCACCAGAGATAGAGTGAGAAGCAGAACAGGCAGATTTACTGAAATACACTGCTGAGGGGAGCATCGGGTGGGTCAGGAGAGGTCTGTGGGTCACTTGCCTGGCAGGGCATTGAACTGAAGTTGCAGTGGCTGCAATAGCTTCATAGTGCTGTGCTTTTAACCTCTTATGCCACAAGGGAAGGCCCCATTTCAGTTTTTTTCTCATGTAGCATAATAAATAGACTGGATGTTAATTTAAAACATTTGTCAATGTAGTAAAACTGTACTAAAACTTACATAGTATTATAAGCATGACTTTGAAATAAAGAAAAAAAAAATTCTGGCCATGAGACCTTTTATGAAACAATAAGAACTGATCTTTTTAAGGGAGAGTTGAACAACTCACTAGTGTGAATACTGATCACTGATAACTCAAGTCTTACAGAGTCATGTTGAAAATCGAGGTTCCCCCCCAAAAACTGTTTAAGAATGGAATTTTACCTGCATAAGTCTGTTTCCTTATTACATTCAAAGAACTCTAATTTTAAAAAATGGAGTTACCATAGGTCATGAGTTGTCCAGTGCTCTAAGCATAAATTCTAGATTGCAGGTAAATTCTGAAACTTTCTCCCTGTCTGTACTACAGTTAAGTTTTATAGTCTTTGCATATCAAGACAGTCTAAAATTTCAGTCTGTTATTTTCTATTTACATAATTGAATAGATTTATATTTCAGATATGAATGGTTTTACATAGAGGTTTAATTAAAAATGGGAAGGAATACACTAAAGGAATTTTAGGAAATTGAGGTATATGAATTTATATAACTTGCCATTTTAATTATCTTAGAGGATAATTCATTGTGTGTAAATAGAGAATAGGAAATACACAAATAAGATTTTTGTGTTTTTTCCTTTTGAGTTATTTTTATTTTTCTTCCCTTAGAATTCCTTGATCTATGAGCTCTTCTCCGTTATGGTTCATTCAGGGAGTGCTGCTGGTGGTCATTATTATGCTTGTATAAAGTCATTCAGTGATGAACAGTGGTACAGCTTCAATGATCAACATGTCAGCAGGGTAAGGAGGACTTTTTTTTTTTAAGTTATTTTTATGACAGGAGTTTAGGGATGCTTCTATTTAATGGTGGAGTTTATTAAAAATAAACTATCTGGTTAGCATTTTAAGGCCCATACTAAATTAGTCTTTGTTGTTTGTTGTAAGTAAATTTCTAAATTTCTTGATTTATTTCATGTTACTGTTTGTTGTGTCTTACTTGACAGTTACTGAGTTTTGCAGAATTTTATTTTCTTCTTGTATTTGTTTTCATGTGGGCTTTTTAGGAGCCCTAGAACTGACTGACTACTGATTATGATTCATTTGTGAATTGGTATTTGTGTGACCCATTTATCCATGAGGTTAAAAATTGTGTTAGTATCATATAATTATGGTGTTAAAGATTTTACAAAAAAAAAAAAATAAAATAATGCAACAACTTTCAGATAACACAAGAGGACATTAAGAAAACACATGGTGGCTCTTCAGGCAGCAGAGGGTATTACTCCAGTGCTTTTGCAAGGTAAATTAACTCCTGATTGTCAGTGTTTATAAATTAGAAATAGTTTTTCAGCATTTTTCATCATTAAAATGATTTAATCCAGGGATCAACAAACTATACAACCCAGTGTTATAAATCCAACACACTCCCATTTTTTTGGAACACTCATTTATTTCAGTGTTGTGTGATGATCTTTTCTCAGTACAATAGCAGAATTAGTAAATACAACAGACTTTACTGTCTGGCCTTTTCCAGGAAATACTTGCTGGCTTCAGATTTAACTAAAGAAATCATTCTAGGACACAACGTTTTAGAAGACTTGACTGGTTTACCAAGAAGAGATGTGGGTGGAATTTTCTCCTAAGTGTAGCATTAAAAACAAAGTAGATTGTCTTTTTTTTTCCCCCCCCAGAATGTCTTAATTTTGAATCTGTTCATGAACAGTTACATGATTTTCTAATTGGTTGAAGCAACAATAAAGTATTTTTTTTAAAGATTTATTTATTTATTCATACAGAACTGGGGTACAGGCCAGAGATGTGGAGGGTGAGAGGATTCACCAGAGACAGAGTGGGGAGCAGAACAGGCAGATCGACGAAGTATACTGCTGAGGGGAGAGCGGGCGGCCAGGAGAGGTCTGCTGCGCCCTGTGGGTCACCTCCGGGGCAGGCGGGGATCGAACTCATGCAGAAGTGGCTTTAGCTTCTCAGTGCTGTGCTTTAACCCGCTGCACCACCAGGGTGGGCCCAAAGTATTTTTTAAATAAATTTTTTTGATGCTAGGAAATGTAATTTTTGCAATCTACCTTTTAAAAAAAAAAAGAAAGAAAGAAAGAAAGGTTTTATTTATTTAATCATACAGAACTGGTGTACAGGCCAGAAGCTCAGGGGTGGTGAGAGGCTTCACCAGAGACAGAGCGGGGAACAGAACAGGCAGATCAATGAAGTACACTGCTGAGGGGAGCAGCGGGCGGGTCAGGAGGGGTTTGCTGCGCCATGTGGATCACCTCCAGGGCAGGCAGGGATCAAACATGCTGAAGTAGCTTTAGCTTCTTAGTGCTATTCTTTAACCCGCTTTGCCATCTTGCCACCAGGGAGGGCCTGCAATCTACCTTTTGTCCCCATTAATCTTTTTATATTTCTCCTAGCTCCACAAATGCATATATGCTGATATATAGAATGAAGGATCCGGCAAGAAATGCAAGTATGTAAACATTTTTTATTTTAGCCTGTATAAAAAACTATCTTGCAAATCCATGTAATTATTTAGGACAATTGAGTTTTTTATACCTGAAACAATTAATTATAAAGACTATGAGGTGATACAACTGGTAAAAATAGCTGAGGAAAAGTTGATCTGTTTTTCAGTGCACTTAGAAAACGTACTCTACATTAAATAAATTGGATATTTATTCTCAGTAATATTGTATTAAATATAATTTGGTGCAATGATGAAAGCCTAGGGTTTATGTAGCAGTCATAGGTTACCTGATGCATGTCCCACATCAAGTTATTTTACTTTTCCACACCTGTAAAATGGGAATAATTATAGTATTTTATAGGTTTGTTATAAGAATTAAATAATATTTTAAGTATTTATTTTTTATTACATGCTCTTTGGGTATTTAACATGTAACTGCTTTGAATAGGGCTACTAGATAATGTAAATCACTGTTAAGAATTAAAATTAAAGATCTTTATCTGCTTACAAATCAAGTACAGTTTTATGAATCAAGTGTGCATCCTTAAGTTTTCATTTTATTGGGAATCGACATAATAGTCCCATATTCAAAGCACCACGTAGTTTTTTTTTTTACCTTTTCTTTTGTAATTATTACCTTCAAAAACTTCAGTTCATGTTTTTGTCTTGCTAACTTTGACAGTATTCCAAATAGGAATTGTTGCGTGTATATATTGTTTTAGTAAAGATAAATTCTCAGGTGATAATGTTTGCTCATATTCTTTTCATAATTAAAATAGTGTTATCACTTTCCTTGAATTCTGTGTATATCCTTTGTTTAGAGACTACTTTTTAATGAGTAAGTCTGTTTTAATTTGTGTAAGATTTGATTTACATTTTTGTAAATCCTCATTAGATTGTGACTCAATTGGTGCAGAACTATGCCAGTGGTATATAGTTCCAGAGTCTGTCATAGTTGTTGTTTAATAACTTACTCTGGAATTAATGGGGGAAAAGAAGAATATTATAACAAGATACTATTTTCAAAACAGATATTTGGGAGTAGAAGTAATTACTCTTACTTTATAGGTAAGAATAAGGTCATAGCTGTGTAGAGGCATAGTCAGGATTGTAGTTCATTTATCATCACACAAATTTCCAGGTATTTCCAAAGGTGCTTCCTTTTATCCACTGGGCTTCCTTTTATCTGCTCCTCTAACTCTAGTTTTGTGATGAAGCACCAGAGGGCGCTGTATGTATGCTGGGTAATATTTTTATAATTAGAGCTATTGCTGAAAAACAGTGGATTTTTATCTCACATTTGAGAACTAATTTCTTTTACATATTGATATATTGTTCTCCCTAATGCTGAGTATCATTGACTTTTTATTAGTTTTGTCATAATCTCATTGTCACTTTGAATACTTTGAATTATATCTGAAATTTTTTTATTAAAAGGCAACTGAAAGACTTCTTGAGAACAAAAGATAGTTGTAATAGTAAATAGTAAGTAAATGAATAGCATTGTAGTACTAGTGTTTTATTACAGCAACATTTATTATATTTTATTGTGTCCCCTGTAATAACACTGTTGGGAAGCTACTTTCACTACATCAAGGTCTAGAGAAGTAAACTTGCCCAGGGTCACACAATTCGATGGTGATGGCATGATATGAAATGAGAAATTATTTTATTTCCAAGAGACTCATTCATACTAAAAATCTTAGTCTGTATGCGTGTTGTCTTGGAACCAAAAGCTAGTATAATAAGACTTTATAAAATAATGAGATCTACCATCTGTTATTATCAACTACCACTCCTCTTCACTCTTATTTGGAGGAAGCTCATGTTTCAAGTTGCACGATTGATACAATTGAGATGTTTTGGTAAAAGATGTTAAGTAACATATATAAAAGCTAAAAGAACTGTGGGAACATAGTGGAACAAATACTGCTGTATTAACCTGTGTTGTTTATTTTTAGAATTTCTAGAAGTAGATGAATATCCAGAACATATTAAAAATTTGGTGCAGAGAGAGAGAGAATTGGAAGAACAAGAAAAGAGGCAACGGGAAATTGAGCGCAATACATGCAAGGTTAATTCCTAATTTTACTTTTTTTTTTTAAAGATTTATTTATTTATTCATACATAACTGGGGTACAAGCCAGAGATGTGAAGGGTGAGAGGATTCACGAGAAACAGAGTGGGGAGCAGAACAGGCAGATCGAGGAAGTACACTGCTGAGGGGAGCAACGGGCGGGTCAGGAGAAGTCTGCCACGCCATGTGGTCACCTCTGGAGCAAGCAGGAATCAAACTCATGCGGAAGTGGCTTTAGCTTCTCAGTGCTGTGCTTTAACCCGCTGCGCCACCAGGAAGGGCCCCTAATTTTACTTTTTATTAAAAAGTACAGTTGGAGTTTACTTAACTGCAGTTTTTATAACTAATTGGGTTGATTCTGTCAACAGTTGTTTTAGTATGATAATTAAGTAGTTTGACTAAATATGTTGTGTATATCCTTAGGTAAAATATGATCTTATTTTGTATATAACGTAGTGATGATACTCAGTCCTAGTGAGGTTACATTGAGATAGTTATTGTTCCATTCTGTTACAAGAAAAATAAAATAACAGAACTTTTCAGCATGGAAATTCATTGAGGTTTATTAAGAGCATTGAGTAAATTCATATTTATGTAATTCTTTTAAGGAACTGATGAAATAATCACAGATACTCTCAAAATTTTCACCATGAGGACATTCATGGTACTTTTCAAACTAGAGAAAAATTGTTACGACCTCAATGTGTATTAGTAGAGAAATAGCTACATACATTATGATACATTCTTATATAGAAACATGTTAAAATTAATGTTTTTAAATTTAAATTTATTAATAACATGACATAGCCACTATCATCTACTAAGTGAGAAAACAGATGAGAATGATCCTGATTATAATATTTTAACTATTTGGAAAAATGCTGTTTGTAAAAGAATTAAGTTTTGACTTTTGTCCTGCTGAGATGACTTGATGATATTTCACATTTTCTAGATAAAATTATTCTGTTTGCATCCTGTGAAGCAAGTAATGATGGAAAATAAATTGGAGGTTCACAAGGATAAGACATTAAAGGAAGCAGTAGAAATGGCTTATAAGGTATGTTTATTACATTGTTAGCACTGAATTATTGACATCTCAAATAATATTACATATTTCTCCAAAGTTTTTTTTTAATAGTCAACAGTAGTAAAAGCACTTGCCGTAACTTTGCTTAGATCTTGTAGTTTTCATCTGTGTAGTTTATTTTGAGAACTTTCTCATTCTGAAAGCCAGTTAACTTTTCTAAATTCAGAATTTGATTCAGAAATAAAAATACTTATTAATTCTTTACATTCATTTAGCAGATATTTATTGAGCGCCTGCTATATGAGGCACTAGAGACACTAGAGTGAACAAGACAACATGAGGTGTTAGAGATACCAGAGTGAACAAGACTTGCTCACTGAACTCCTGGACTATATAATCCACTGGGAAAAAACAGACAAAAAAATTACTTAAACATCACAATTTGCAAGTATTTTATTGTTTAGATGCTACAAACTAAATCAGTAGTGTATTATGCTTATCTTGAGACTTCAGCTATCCTACAAAAAAAATTCAGGAGGGATATTAGTATGTGTAAAAACTGAGGTGAGGAAGTGGTTGGTATGAATAGGAAAAAAAGGGACATTATTATAGATTGTCATGAGTAAGAATAGAGTAACATAAAAAGAAATGAGACATTTTCTAATAACAGAAGTATTCATTTTATTCTGAGCATAATGAAAAGTTATTAGTTGCTTTGAAAAACAAATGGAAAGGAAAACATCCTTTGACCAGATTGTTCTAAAGCTCTTCTATGTTTTTGACAAATTAGGGTTTTTTTTTGCTCTTTCATATATATATTAATAACATTTGATTGAAAAACTAATTATCCCGGGGCAAATTGATTTCCAGAGTTAAACCAGCATAGCCTGCACCAGAATTACATTCCTACTAAAAAGTCTAAGTCTTTCAAATCTGAATGTCTATGCTATGCATTTTGGGGAATGTCTGGGAATATGCATTTTATTTTTTATTTAAGATTTATTTATTTATGCATACAAGAGCTAAGGTGTGGGGGGGCGGGTGGTGAGAAGATTCACCAGATACAGGGTGGGGAGCAGAATATGCTGATGTACAGAAATACATTACTGAGAGGAGCAGTGGGTAAGAGGAGAGGTCTACTATGCCATGTGGGTTAGCTCCCTGGCCTATGGTAGAACTCATTGCAGTAGCTGCCAGTAGCTTAATGGTACAGAGATTTAACCCCTTGTGCCACCAGGGAGGCCCTGGGAATATGCATTTTAAACAAGTATCTCAAGTGATTTTTAGGCATACTAAAATGTGAGAACCTCTCATACCATGTACCTGACTTTTCTTTAAAGTCGTTATCATAAATCCTGAATGAATACTAAAGCACTTCCTATTATTGAAATTATGTAGTTAATTGTGTGACTGTCTTAATTCATGTTACTGTCTGCCACTAAACTGTAAATGCCAGCAAAGGAAAGAAGCATTTTGGTTTTGTTTATGATTACCTCTCTAGTATTTTGCCTGGCATTATAGGAAAGCTAAAATGAGGTGGGTATGAGAATTAGTGAATGAATGAACAAACAGTAAAATGGATGGTTAGCTCTGAATTCACCTCATTAAACTAAAAATCCTTTAAGCATAATAGTAAACTACAAATATCATCTTTATAAAAGTACAGAAATCAAATTAGGCTATACTGGAGGAAACATCTTACATATTAAAGTCAGTTGCTGATAATACTAAGAGTAGTTTCTATTTTATGTATTGTTCATTGAAGAAAAATAAAATATTGTCTTCAAAATAGGAAGCTTTAAGTTCACAAATATAGAGTCAAGCAGAAGAGAAATATAGATCAATCTTATATGCCAAAAATTGAGAGTGGTGCGGGGATGAGTAAAGATCAGTGGGAATACACAAGGTTTACATGTTTTTTTCTTTAAAGTCGTTATCATAAATCCTGAATGAATACTAAAGATTTCAAAGCAGTCCTGTGCTTCTCCAGCAGAATAATTTCCCAGTTAAAAAAATACTGCTTCCACATTGTCATCTATGGGTCAGATGGGCTAGAGGGAAAGTTTATGATAGAAATGCCAATGCTCTGAACTATAGGTATTCTGGAGACTGATATTGAGAAGAGTATGGTACAAAGAGTAATTGGCCAGTGCCTGGGGATACAAGAACTGCAACCTTTTAGGTGTTTTATGAGGCATGCTGTCCTCCTATAGTCACTAGATACGAGTTACCAATTTTTCATATTATACTAAGGGGTATATGCTAGTTGGTTGTTTCTCCTTATGTTTCCAGCTTAGTAATTATAGAGCAGTAGTCATTACATGATTGGCAGTCCTTCTAAAGTTCAGAATGTTAATTTTTTTTAAAACCAGAAAATATCTTAGTGCACAGGTTGTATCATTTGAGGGAGAATGAAATAGTTATTTAAGAGAGCATTTAAGTGTTACTTTTAACTTTGATGTCCTTGAACTGTTGTAATGCAAATCATAAATGTATTGATTTTAATTGTTAGGACCTATAGTTAGTACAATTACATATCCCATGAAAATGCTATATATATATATATATTTTTTTTTTCTCTTTTCTGGGGGGTCTTTTTTCTTTAGATGATGGATTTAGAAGAGGTAATACCCATAGATTGCTGTCGCCTTATTAAATATGATGAGTTTCATGATTATCTAGAGCGATCCTATGAAGGAGAAGAAGATACACCAATGGGACTTTTACTAGGTGGAGTCAAGTCAACATACATGTTTGATTTGCTATTGGAGACGAGAAAACCTGATCAAGTTTTCCAGTCTTACAAACCTGGAGGTAAGGAATTCTGTAGTATTTTGTGTTTGACTAGACTAATTTTTTTGTAAAAAAAACTATGAAAATTAATTAAAAATTGTCAATTGTTTTATATTCTTAAATTTTAATTAAAAATTTTAATTTGAAAAAAATTTTAATTTGTTCTTTTAATGTTCTTGACAGATTAGGAAATAGTTAACAATCTTGGAATTAATTTTTAGATTACTTTTGAAGAGCTAGACATAAACTTAAAAATAAACATAAAACTGCAACAATTTCTATCATACACAGTATTCAGTGGGATTTTTCTCCCCTTGTACTGATCATACATCCATTTTCCTTTCTCCTCTCCTTTTCACGCCCTAACTTTCAAGGTAGAGAAGACTCTGTCCCAAAACAGCATATTCCCAAAAAGTCTCAGAAATAGTTTGGTGTCTTAGGTTTTCCTTGAAGAGGTAGTTTCATAACCTCATCATTGCGAGTATTTTTTAATTTTTCTCCATTTCTGCAAATCTTTGGGGAGTTAAGTCATTTCTGTTTTCATTAGATTGATTACATTCCTCAGTATCTTGAGTTTTTTTCCTTTGAGATTGATCTGAAAAGCAAAATACTATATTGCTCACTGTATGGTTTTTCTCATGTGCAAAGTTTCCTAGTAATCTCTATATTAAACATAAAAAGTAGGAGAAAATTAAAATATGCAAATATCTTTTCTTGTCCCTAACTCCCTTGCATTAGTCATTAACATAATTCTACTTACATTCTCTACTTTATTCCTAAAAATTGAACTTAGAAAACTTTTTCTGTCCTTTCAAATTCTATTCCTCTATGGATCCTATATACCTATCATCAGAGTATTAGAAAAATGTCACCTTTGGTGACTATTAGAAACATATTAAGAATGCATTGCTAATGTGAAATACATTTTATAAAATAACCTCCAGTTTTGTTTCTGTTTTCAAATGTGACAGAAGTGATGGTGAAAGTTCATGTTGTTGATCTGAAAGCAGAATCTGTAGCTGCCCCTATCACTGTTCGAGCTTACTTAAATCAAACAGTTACAGAGTTCAAACAACTTATTTCAAAGGTAAGTTTTAAAATTGGGCAGTGAATAATTTTGCAGGCCTGCTCTGTACAAGGTGCTATGAGATAGTTATGTCTAAAATATGGAGCAGGTGTTTATTGCAAGCATCACTATTTCTAGCAAGAAGACTACTAGTTAGCATAGAGAAGGATACTTCAACAAGAAATAGATCACAGTATGGAGATAAGAAGGTATAAAGCTAATACATTGAACATGTGTTTGGCTGGATCATTGTTAAAATACATGCCTGTAAATATAAGTTCAGTTCATTTCATGGAGGTTTTTAAATGGTAACAGAAATTCAAGTTGTATTTGATGTAAGCAGAAGGAAGTAGATTTTTAATTTTTCTAAATATAGCAGTGGTATGTTGTGAATGGGATGTTCCAGATGTGTTGAGAGAGGAGTCAGAAATGTAGAGGAGAAGGCTGTTGAACTAATTTAGCTGAAGTATATATATGCTCAGAAATGAGAGAAATTGTGGACTGTACGAATGAATATATAAATAGAATCTGCAGGAGTTGTGACTAGTAAATGTTGGAGTAAGGCAGAAGCACAGATGACTGAGATATTTCAAACATGAGTAACCATAAAGCTTATGGTACATTGTTAGAAGAGTATGGTGGGGGATATTTGACAGAAGGTGATGAGTTAAATATTGATCACATTGTCTGAGTTAGTGATAAAAAAAACATACACTCATTTAGAATTTTTGAGCTCATAAAGTAAGATGATTAAAATTTCATTGAATGAAAGACACCTGCAGAGAAATTACTATCCTTTTGGGGGTCCTGTACTTCATAGAACATTGAACACACAAAAAGACAAAGTTTTGTATGGTTCCTAAAGCCCAAGCTAAGATCTCTAGGTGTCATAAAAGTTATTTACTAATCCCGAGGCAAGAAGTTCAATTTCTTTCATTTTTCTAATGGAGTTTTTTTGCTTATCTTATCTGGGGTTTTTAATGCCTGTTTTAACAGGGTAGTTGTAGATGTTAATGAAACGAGTAATTGCTTGTGGAAAAAATTGTTTCAAGTATTATATGAGGTTCTTTTATGATGATGATGTTAAAAATGAATGACTTTAATTTTTGCCAAAGTAATAATTAGAGGAAACAAATATTGTGAAATCATATTTTATGATTAATTTACTCATTTAAAAAAGACTACATCGTGGAATTGTTCCATATCATAGTTTAGAGTCTGAACACAAAGGTAAAATACAGAAGAAACAGATGTCATTGAGACTTTTATTGGGATGGTGTTAAATCTGTATATCACTTTTGGTAAGATGGCCATTTTGATGATGTTAATTCTCCTAATCCATGAGCAGGGGATGGCTTTCCTTTTCATAGTGTCTTCTTGTTATTTCTTTACATAAACTTTTTTTGTATAGGTCTTTTATCTCTCTTAAAAGAGTTTTTTATAATTACTTTTATTATAGGCCATCCACTTACCTGCTGAAACCATGAGAATAGTGCTAGAACGCTGCGGCAATGATTTGCGTCTTCTCACTGTGCCCAGTAAAACCCTGAAAACGGAAGGTTTTTTTAGAAGTAACAAGGTGAGTCTCTTACTTTTTTGTTACTATTTTATTTGCTGGTAATAATGAACAAAACAAACTTTAGGGCCCTCCCTGGTGGCAAGGCAGGTTAAAACACAACACTAGGAAGCTAAAGCCACTTCAGCATGAGCTTGATTCCTGGCCAGGGAGGTGAACCACATGGCGCGGCAGACCTCTCCTGACCCACCCGCTGCTTCCCTCAGCAGTGTACTTCATGGATCTGCCTGTTCTGCCCCCCTCTCTGCCACTGGTGAATCCTCTCATCACCCCGGCGAGGATGCATACAGCTAATAATACTCCTATAGATTCTTTAAAAACTTGTAAACTGGGCCCAACCTGGTGGCACAATGGGTAAGGACGTAGCACTGCAAGCTGGCCACAACCGCCCCAGTGCAAGTTCGATCCCTGCCCCAGAGGTGACCTACATGGTGTGGCAGACCTCTCCTCGACTGTCTACAGCTCCCCTCAGCAGTGTCCTTTGTCGATCTGCCTATTCTGGTCCCCACTCTGTCTCTGGTGAAGCCTTTCTGTGCCCTTGCACCTCTGGCCTGTGCCCCTGAATAAATAAATAAATCTTAAAAACAAACAAACAAAAAACTTGTAAAGCTCTACTCAGATGATTTTCCACTTAATTTTCTGTCTGTTACTTTGAAGAATTCAGTAGTGTCTTATTTTCTGACATATCCAAGTCAAGCAGAATTTTTCTTAAAAGAGTTCTTTTTTTAAATAAGTAATATAATAGCTTATTTTTACATAATTTTGTGCATTTTTCCACCTCAGTTGTAATCCCCTTGGGCTTTCCATCACCAAATCACCCATGTGCCATCACCATAGTCCAGTGCATTTCCCTCCCCCCACTGTTTTTGATCCCATTCGCCCTCTGGTATATAGCTGTTCATTATTATTATTATTTTCTTGCCTGGTCTGTTTTACTCCTCCTATGAATGAAACCATCCAGTATTTTTCCTTTTATTTCTGGCTTATTTCACTAAGCATGATCTTTTCCAGCTCCATCCAGATTACTGCAAAAGGCATGTGTTTGTTTGTTTGTTTGTTTGTTTGTTTGTTTGTTTGTTTGTTTGTTTATTTATTTAGGTTGCTGAGTAATATTGCATTGTGTATATATACTACATCTTTTTAATCCAGTCATCCACTTTTGGGCATTTGGGCTGTTTCCATGTCTTTCCAGCAGCAATAAACATGGGGGTGCAGGTATCTTTTTGAGTCAGTGTTTTTTGGGTAGATAACTAGGAGTGGGATTGCTGGGTCACATGGAAACTCCATGTTTAGCAGTTTGAGGAACCTCGCTTCTAAAAACAATACCCATGTCTTTCAGAAACTTTATCATCCCAAATTTTAGGACTTACTGTGTGCTGTCTTATATTAATGTGGTAGTGTTTTCTAATGAATGAGAATGTCATTAAAATAACTACTCTAATATAACCCTTTGACTTATTACCTAGGTGTTTGTTGAAAGTTCTGAGACTTTGGATTACCAGATCACCTTTACAGACTCTCATTTATGGAAACTCTTAGATCGTCATGCAAACACAATTAGATTATTTGTTTTGTTACCTGAACAGTCCCCTGGATCTTATTCCAAAAGGACAGCATATCAGAAAGCTGGGGGTGATTCTGGTAATGTGGATGATGACTGTGAAAGAGTCAAAGGACCTGGAGGGAGCCTGAAGTCTGTGGAAGCTATTCTAGAAGAAAGCACTGAAAAACTCAAAAGCTTGTCATTACAGCAGCAGCAAGATGGAGATAATGGGGACAGCAGCAAAAGTACTGAGACAAGTGACTTTGAAAACATCGAATCACCTCTCAATGAGAGGCACTCTTCAGCATCAGTGGATAATAGAGAACTTGAACAGCATATTCAGACTTCTGATCCAGAAAATTTTCAATCTGAAGAACGATCAGACTCAGATGTGAATAATGACAGGAGTACAAGTTCAGTGGATAGTGATATTCTTAGCTCCAGCCATAGCAGTGATACTTTGTGCAATGCAGATAGTGCTCAGATCCCTTTGGCTAATGGACTTGACTCTCATAGTATCACAAGTAGTAGGAGAACTAAAGCAAATGAAGGCATAAAGGAGACATGGGATACAGCAGAAGAAGACTCTGGAACTGATAGTGAATATGATGAAAGTGGCAAGAGTAGGGGAGAAATACAGTACATGTATTTCACAGCAGAGCCCTATGCTGCAGATGAAGGTTCTGGGGAAGGACACAAATGTATGTACTTTAAAAGATTCTCTCAAATAATTTTTCTTGAAGTTTATCTAAATGCTTAGTTAAGAAAAGAATCAGCTAAGAGTTACATGCTTCATTCTAACACCACCAGTAACTTCCTGTATTACAAGATTATTTTCTGTTGCTCTTGTGTTCATTTTTGATGCAGTTATAGTGAACAGTGTTCTTAGATGTTGGCATTATGTTAAACCTGTTACAGTACTTTTAGCAGAACTATAGTAAGTTTTTTTAAAAAAGAAAATTAGGAATTAATTTTAAAAAATGAATTGAGATAAAATAATAAATATTTCCTGAATGCTAGATAGCAAACTCTATAGCTCTTAGAGGTAAAGATGACTATAATGCAGACTTAATGTTTCATCTAGTGAGAAGTCAGTATAAAAGTTAAGTGCTGTGCTGCTTATTGTCTCAAAATTTGGTCTTTTAAAAGAAAGTGGTAGAAATTCTGAAATCATTAGTAAAAGTACAAAGATTTGTATTTTTAATCAATTAGTCTGTGTAGCAGTGGAACTATGTGATAGCTATACACATATCTTATAGATAAACTCAGGTGGGAAAATGAAGGTTGGAGGGACCACAAAGACAAGGAAACTCTATTGTTATGACACTTTAAATTCCTATGGTGTCCTCATAAAGTGAATTAACTTAATATTATCTCATTTAGTTCTCTCAGCAGCTATGTGAAATGTGTTTGATACTTTTACTGATGAAAAAAATGACTCAAATAGGTTAAATAATTGCCTGAGGTCCCAGTGCTAGTAGATCACTGCTGGGATCATATTTGAGCATTTTGGTTATAAGCCTAGTGCTCATTCCTTCATCCTTCACCCCATAGCTGCTACCATTATTTATTACTTTGCCCATATCATAGTTAAGGAAAACTAGTCCTGCTTTCTTACCATCTTCCACCCTTCATGGGTATTGGATGAATTAGAAGTAGTTGAAGGAAAAAGCTAGGGAACTTCTTTTATGTGGTTTGTTTTAGAATGATATTACTAAAAATTTGACTGAATGACAGCATCAACTTTAAGAAGTCATTGGGAATACTTAGAATTACATTGTGAGGAGTCTCATTTCTATCAATGGTTAATGAGATCTTTACAAAGGAGAGTGTTAGCTACTTTAATCTTTTAGGAAATTCACAGTGGGCTAATTTTCTAGCATTCATGAGAGAATAGGTATGGTAAGTATGTAGGCTTTCAGAAATACACAAAACCAGTGAAACTGGAAAATGCCTTTTCATGTTTAGAAAACTGTCTTAGACACAGTGATGTAGGAATGATAGTCAGCAGCCAGGTATTTCAAGAGTCTGTGCTAAGAGAGTTCATCATAGTACGTTGGTGATTTGAAAGTAGGTGGCTGGGAAATATGTGGATAATTAATCATACAGATTTTTCAGAATGATGAAATGGCAAGATATAATAGGTAAATAATTTGACATTTGAATAGTGAAATACTATATACAGCATAGGCAATTCATTTAGATAAAAAAACAACTTATTGTAAAATGGTGATCTTATAATCTAGGAATTGTTTCAGGGAATAACTAGAGATCTTTCTTTAAAAACAATGTCCAGTTCCAATCTAGTTGTAGTCTGTAGGCATTGACATAAATAGGAAGGCCAAGGTAATAAAATTGGCAGTGCGTTTACACTGAAATTTCTTTGTACAGTTTGGTTACTACAGTTAAGAAATACATTTTAGGGCCTTCCCTAGTGGTGCAGCCGGTTAAAACACAACACTAAAAAGCTAAAGCCATCCCGGAAGTGATCCACATGGCACAGCAGACCTCTCCTGACCTGCCCACTGCTACCCTCAGCAGTGTACTTTGTCAGTCAGCCTGTTCTGCTCCCCAGTCTGTCTTGGGTGAAGCCTCTCATCGCCCTTGCACCTCTGGCCTGTACCCCAGTTCTGTATACATAAATAAATAAATCTTTAAAAAAAATACATTTTAAAAAGAGAAAGAAGGAAATATAGGTTAGTTTTAATACAATTTTGAGGTTACATAGTGAAGAGACTGAACTCTTCACTTTGAAGAAGTAGATAGGAAACCAATATGATGGTAATCTTAAAAAAAAAACATTAAAAAATATAGCCAATAAATAAACTAATAACACTTTTTCCCCAGGGGTATAATAAACATATTACATATAGTGACCCAAAAACATAGACTATTAATACTGTTGCTTCCATTTTATAAGAGATAATTGAAGTACATAGACATCAGTAAGTTATTATCTATGTTATTATATACAGGAAGGAGCCAGGGATTTATCCAGGCTAGGGCATCCAGCTGAAGAACCACTTGATTGTAATTGCCATATTGGACTCTTATCAGTAACATTTGTGTCTCCCTGTGATAGACATTACTAGGAGTTATGAGAGAAACTGAAATGACAATAATAGCTTGTATTGGAGTAATGCTTTGGAATATACTACATTTGTCATGAAAGTAATGAGTGAGATTGGTGTAATGAACTCATACTGAAACTGAGATTCCATAACCTAGCTATAGCCATTTTTCAGACTAAAGTGGCAAAATTTTAATCCAGCCATAGGCTTCTTCTGATTTCTAATCAAGTAATTTTTTTCTTTGTACCTTTCTCTCAAGAAATTGTATACCTTACTTAAGAGCATTAATAGAAGCTTATGTGCCAAAAGCTTGGATTATTAACATTTAGGGGTATTCCTTAGAGCTTAGAAATCGACATTTTAAACAAATTAAAAGAAACACCTCAGAAATTATATATAGTAAAAAAGTCATCATCTTGTTTATGTTTTCTTTTAATATATACTTGTCACATTTTCTGTAATTAAACTGCATGTTACAACAAAGAATGTAGTAAATGAACATTAATTTATGAAAATACATTCAAGAAAATTCATCAAGGTAAGAATTGGTGTGACCTGAAAACCTAAAAGGAATGTTTGGGGGTCTCATTCTGTGATTTAAGTGCCACAGAAATTCAAAGCCTACCCTAGACAGAGCTTTAGGGCTACGGCTTCCTAAAGACTGTGGACCTGAGGCAGCATGGCTTTGATACCTTACTATAGGAGACAGTTGAGTTACAGTTTTGTTTTGTACTGGAATAAAAATAACAGGGTACACAGAAATATTCTAGAAGTATCCTCATGAGTGGCTTATAAAATAATGGATTCAAGTAATAAACATTGGGAGTGGGAGGGAACTCATAACTCATTACATTGCCAAGAGAACGTAAGTTGAAACTTAGATGAGATGGGAATTTCTGATCCATTTAGATCCTGTTCTTATTACTGTTAGCCACATGTTAAAACAAGTCTTAATAGGTTGGTCTTGAAATTTTTTTCTGGTAATTATCTCAGCACTAGATTTACTAACAGTGTTGAGATAATTACTCTATATTTGGCATTGTATTAAAAGCATGATAAAAATCTCATCAAATTTACACTGCAGTACTATGAGATGGTAGTATCTTCAGTTTTCAGATGAAGAACTGGAAATACGGAGGTTGGGTTTGCTCCGTGTCACACAGTGGTAAAATAGTAGTGGCAGCAAGGTTGGAGATCAGCTAGAGCCTGTCTGTGGTAGTGTCAATAGGAATGTGTGTATTTTAGAAGCATTCATTGACATTTGGTTTTGGATTCAGCTGCCAAAATAAATGAATAAGCACTTAAATATTTCAGGACATTTAAATTTGTTGGGTTTATACCTGGTTTACCTGTTTTTATGCTCCTTTTCTCTCTAGTCAATGTATATAAGCTAATAACTGAAAAGGGGTGCTTTTCCTGTTTTTGTAGTATAGTAAAAATTCTGTGATGTGCTTTATCTATATTGTAAGCACTTTCTTTCATGCTTTTACTTTTTTTTTTTTTTTGTGCTTAGGGTTGATGGTGCATGTTGATAAAAGAATTACTCTGGCTGCTTTCAAACAACATTTGGAGCCCTTTGTTGGAGTTTTGTCCTCTCATTTCAAAGTCTTTCGAGTATATGGCAGCAATCAAGAGTTTGAGAGCGTCCGATTGAATGAGACACTTTCATCATTTTCAGATGACAATAAGGTTGATTAAAATAATTATGTATAATTAAAGTCTTTAAATGATAGATTTGAGAACATCTTGTACTACTTCCAAGTAAGGTGAAATAGAGACTCTTAAAAGGGTGAATTTTTTTTGGTGTTTAGTGGTGGTTTTTTTTTTTTTTTTTTTTTCCCTTTACTCGTAATCTAACAAGCATTTGCTAAATGTTAACTGTGTGTCAGTTACTGTTCTAGGTGCTGGGGAATCAGAGGTAAAGATATTCCTGTTCTCAAAGAACCCATAATCTAGAGAATTTTGGAAAACTAAACAATGGGGTGAGAATCAAATATTTAGTTTGCTGAGACAGTGCATTTCAAATTAACATTTTTAATTTATAGATCACAATTAGACTGGGAAGAGCACTTAAAAAAGGAGAATACAGAGTTAAAGTGTACCAGATTCTAGTCAATGAACAAGAGGTAAGTAATACACTTGACAGTTAAGGTCACTTTTGCTTACTAAAAATATACAGTACAGAGAATTCAAGTCATTTTCTTTTATCGCTTTAAAGCAGTGTTGGCGAATATTTTAGTTTTGCAGGTTATGCTGCCTTTTAGTGCAAAAGCAGACACAGTTCACACATAAACTATGTCCCAAAAAAAGAAAATCAGTCAATGAACGTATAGCCCTCAGCCCACAATTTGTTGTCTGCCTGTTCTGTATTATTGCTAGAATTGCCAGAATGAGAAAAAAACTTTTCTACTGTTTTTTTTTAATTTTATAGCAGTTTATTTTTACATCATTTTGTACATTTTTTTTTCCATCTCAATTGTAATTCCCTCGGGTTTCCAATCACCATGTCACCCGTTTGCCATCACCATAATCCTGTGCACTTCCCTCCCCACTCCCGTTAAAACTTTTCTACTTTTAAGAGAGGATTTGTGTTTGCTTTATGATCATAAGATGCTATAGGTTGATCTGTAAAATATATAGATACTTTGTGTGTTCAGTCATTTTGGTATTTAATAAGCATTTACCAGTGTGTTTGTTATGTGCTCTAATTGTAAATATTAACTTCCTGTCATTTAACTTTTCTCTGATAAAAGTAGTATTCATTTACCTAATACACCTAAATAGTGTATTAAGGCTGTATATAGGCAAAGGCTTTTTAGGGAGTAACTAATAAAATATTTTAGTTTCTGTGACATAAAAGGCTTATAGCAAATACCTGTATATATTAAGGCAAAGACTGTTTTCATAGTGTATCTTTTTTTTTAAAGGATTTATTTAGTTGTGCATATAGAACTGGGGTGCAGGCCAGAGGCGCAGGGGCAGTGAGAAGATACACCAGAGACAGAGTGAAAAGCAGAACAGGCAGATCGACGAAGTACTGCTGAGGGGAGCAGCGGGCGGGTTAGGAGAGGTCTGCCACGCCATGTGGATCACCTCCGGGGCAGGCGAGGATCAAACTCATGTGGAAGTGGCTTTCGATTCTTAGTGCTGTACTTTAACCCGCTGCTCCCCCAGGGAGGGCCCTTCATAGTGTATCTTATTGAGGACCTACACAAATGTGAAAACCATATAGCAAATAAGATAATAAATTTTTCATAAAATGCCTGTATTCATTAAATATTTTATATGACACTCATCATATATGTATGATCATTTTTACATGCAATTATAGTCATTTTAACTTAAATGTTCTGATTTTGGACTAGTGGGTACTAATTCTCTTTTGAAATAATTACAGAATATATTTGGAGAAATAGATTGCATTTCCCTCACTGTAGTCCTTATAAATATTTGTCTTTTTTTTAACAAGAAGGGAAATACGAATATCACCTTATTTATTTAATGGCTCTGTGAGAGAAGGTACCCCAGTTATGGGTGAGAAAACCAAGGCACATGATATTAAGTACCTTGCCCCATACCAGCAGCATTAGAAAGTAGTAGAGCCACTACTAGGAAGATAATTTCTGAACTCAGTCCCCTAATGTCTTAATATGAAATACAATTAGAGTATTTCGTTAATTCTTTTAATGTATGATTAAAGCTTTAATCATTGATGTTCTATTCCTAGCCGTGCAAGTTTCTGCTAGATGCTGTGTTTGCTAAAGGAATGACTGTACAGCAATCAAAAGAGGAATTAATTCCTCTACTCAGGGAGCAGTGTGGTCTAGAGCTCAGTATTGACAGGTAAAGTTATATTACAGTTTCATTAGCAATATGAAGAAATATTGTGCTTTCAATTGATATGGGTTGGTATAATTTTTCTAAAACTAGAAGAATTAAAAATTCCTGCACTATTCAGAATTTTAGTACTGCAGAATTATTTAATGTAAGTAAGTAAAAATATTAGAATTGTTTTTGAATATCCTCTCAGGCAGACACTAAATTGGGAGTATTAGGAATTTTCTTTAGGTTTTCCCAAAGTTGTAATGAATAGCCAGTTGGCTTTTGTATTCAAACATAGTTTATTTTTCCTTGATGTCAGATTCATGTCAGTTTTTTACATTAAGAATTCCAAAGTAACAATAATTTAAAATGCCTTACTACATTTATAGATTTCGTCTAAGGAAAAAAACGTGGAAGAATCCTGGCACTGTCTTTTTGGATTACCATATTTATGAAGAAGATATTAATATTTCCAGCAACTGGGAGGTTTTCCTTGAAGTTCTTGATGGTAATATCAGTATTTTTATGAGGAAATAGCAGTTAGAAATGTAGACCTAATAGACACCTGTAGTTTTTTATTAAATAGTGAGATTTTCATTTTTGTCTCTGGGTTCCTTTTTTGCTTAACTCTTTTTCAATTTTGATACTAATTTCCCCTTGCTAAAAGGTTACAGTATAAAAACTATTAATACTTTTTACAGAAAATTCTATTGTCATTTCCCTAGTTATATTTGTTATTTAGTCTCTTTTTTCCTTATGACTTATTTTATATTGAAGATGTTGTATTGGTAATTTACAGAGATTTTGAAAATGACTACTTTAGTTTCCTAGACTGTCCACAAGAAAGTGCTGCAACTTACCACAAGTACCCTAAATAACAGGATTCTTTTCCATGTTTCTCCTAGCTTCTCATGGTTATTTAACAGCCTTTGTTATTCCTTGGTTAAACCCTGCCTTCAATTCCCTGTTTTTTTTTTTTCACTTTGGACTTATTTACCTGTGTCCAGATTTCCCCATTTTATAGTAAGGATGTTACTGGATTAGTATCCATCTAATGATCTCATTTTTACCTACCATTTAATCACTATTTCCAAATAATATCATATTCTGAGATATTAGGG